TATTTGTCACATGAGAGTAAAAAAAAGAAATACCAAACCCAAAACCCAAGAACATCAGTATGTCCCAAGAAATTAAACAAAATGGATCACAACTCATTCTACTGCAAAATACCCCGTACCCCTCACCTGCAATAGTACCGACAGCGTGAGAACGGACAGGCCCCTACGCATGGAAACAAAAGTGCTGCAGGTTGTGTCTTTGCTGCCTTTATCATCCCCTGGAATCCACCTCCTGCAGGGCTCCAGGTGCTGCATCCACACGGCCAGGAGGGCCGGGCTTTAAATTCAAGCCAAGCCTGAACTCAAGCCTGCTCCTAAGCCTCCTGCAGAGACTCGCTGGAGGGCAAGAGGGCTGGTAGCCATGTGAGCCATCAGGGAGGTCTGGTTTGACCATCAGCAAACGTCTGGAGCTAAGAGGAGGATGGAGGGCAGGAATACACTCACTGTGCTTCCAGACACCGGCCCGGGGGTCACTGAGCCCCAGTCCCAGTTCCCCATGGATCAGTGCCTGCCCGGGCGGCTCCTCTGGCTACGGGCATTTCAGCAGCAGGTTCTGGAGCAGAATCAGCCCTAGAAGGGTGCTAGTAGATGGCTGAGCTCTATGGCAAGGCTTCCCTATGGCCCGCAAAAAGCTGAACCTTTTAATACCAGCTATTTTGTGGCGCAGATTTAAACACCGACATAATAAAAGCTCCTTCTAAAATTGAGAGATTTCCATCATCAACAAGCCTTCCTTCCTCCAAGCCAAACACAAAGCCCTCTGAATCGATCGTGCCTGCAGTAGCAACTGGTGCACTCTGTGGATGCGAGCTCCCACCCACTCCTTCCCATAAACACCGATATTTATGGTGTCAGCTCAGGTCAGGAGACTGTGAAATGTCACCCACAACTGCCCGAAAGGACAAGAGAGCGGCGACTTCGTCTCGCGGTCTGCTGGGCACACACACGCTGACCGCAAGGCGATAAGGTCCTGGAGGGGTCAAGCCAGTCACTGAATGGGCCACAAAAGGCCAGGGAGGTGGGGTGAGGGGCAAGTGCATGGGGGCTTCCCTTAAAAAAAAACAACCGGTGCCGCACAACGGGGTGGTTGTTTTAGCAGAGAGGGGCCTTGGCAGTTAATGGCTTTGGCCCCGAGGGCAGGGCACCAAGCGAAGGAAGTGTGAGGAGAGTAAATGGACAGTTAGTAAAAAGGCAGGTGTAGGGAGCGCGGGGAGCCTGTTCCATGTCAGCAAACAGGAGACATCCTACGCGCGGGTGTCAAAGGCAGACGGCATGGGGAAATTATCCTGACAAAGGGCCCGGGGCAGGCACACTTTGAAAGGTGTTCGATCTCCACTTCTGAGACCTTCAGCCATGTATTCATCGCAGATTATACTAACAAGGATGCAGGGACCGACGCTTTGTTATCCCGCGGAATTGGGAGGAGGGGAACACCCCCAGTCAATGTGATGAAAACCTCGTGTCAGGCGCCAATCATGCAATCGAACTCCAGCCTGCAAAACTCACTGAAAGGAAAGGGAAGGGTCTGCTGTAACGCTACCAGCTCAGAATTCACCTGACAAAAAGGGGAGGCGTATTTTGATTTAGCAAGTAAATCGTCATAAATGTTCACCATAACTATGACTGCAATGGCTAAGTGGATGCTGTGGATGGGCTAGCCAATATGGATTAATCAGAAGAACACTGCAAACTCGGCCTCGGGATCCTACGACGACTCCGGTGTGATCTTTCGCATCGTGCAGCAAGTGGAGAATCATGTCAGTGGGCTGCTATGCCAAGAGTCTCAGCACTGGGACACGCTCATATCTTCGCAAGACAATGATTTTCACTCTGAAATGCATTCTTAGGGGAGACTCTCTTGAATCTGTATCCAGAAGGATTTCCGTGGGGCTGGATTAAGAACAGAATGGTGATGAGTGATCACCACACTTCAGTGCTATGGCTGGCTAAATTCAGAATTCTCACTTTGATTTGGTACGCAATCGCTTCAGTTGTACTCGAATAAACACAGTCCTACAGATTGTTATACGCTTTTTTCCTGAGACCCAAGCGACGACTTCTGAGCTCCACCAACAAAGAACTCTCTATGAGCACCGAGCAGCAGAAGTGGTCATTCACAAAGCCGGCAGTGGTTCCAGCACAGATACAGAAACAGCTTTTGAATAAAAAGAACAGTTCTCTCTATTAAGAGAGGCCTGTATTGTAACAGCACTCAGACAGCTGAGCAGGGGACAGATGTGGAAATGAGCTGGACTTGCTACTTGCAATTATTTATTCAGTATGGTGAAATTCTTTAGTGTTGGCTTCACTTATCTGCACCCATATTTTACCTGTACTTAGGATAACCAAGCAGCTGCCTCGGTACTTTCAATCAGCTGATAATACACACATCTTGCACAGAGACTTTCAAAGGCAGAAACAAGAAGCTGGTAAAAAATGTTATCCCAGCTTTTCCCCAGAGGGTACGGGGGCGGCTGCCAGCCCAGACTCAACAGACGGAGACAGAGCTCTCAGCCTCTCGCTGGCAGCTCTGCCATCGCCTTCTCTCACGACCACAACGTCCATCCGTTGCTGCCGACGCTGTGGCTGTGCCTGTGTACCGTCTTTTGTACGCTGGCATTTTAGGCGTTTTTAGAGAGCAAACACTGCTGTTGAGACTCACACCATCCCACACGTGGAATACTCCCCAGCCGCAAGAGCCACAGACTCACCCTGCTCAGACCTGTTCACAACACTGCTGCAACAAGGACTTTTCCATGCCAGCACTTCGACCGCATTGCCTCCCTCCCTAACACCACGGAGGCTCTCACACTCGTTGCACTCACCATCGAAGCCCTTCCTCGTCTGTGCATTCACAACTCATCGCTCCGCAGGGGAAAGCCCACTCCGCTCCTCCCGCAGGCATCCCTACCGACGATGTGGCATCTCAGAGGTCCTGCTGGAGCAGATTCTTCTGACCACCAGTGCCCTTGGACAAGCAACTGCTGAACACGTGCGGTTGGACTGTGCAGCAGACGTGCGGCGAGTCAGATGCACCAAGAAAGTACCACGTTCAGCGCTCCTGCAGTGCCTATATATGCTGCAAACATGGAGTAGGTCTGCCACGTCTGACAAATGCGCTGGACCACACATGGGACAATATTTTTGTCTGAGGACCTCCCAGTCACCACATGCACATACTCCCACAGCCTACAGAGCAGCTGTCTGCTTTTTCAGTTCCCTTCTCTGCAAGCATCCCCAAGGAACCTTGGCTAAATTCATTCGCAATAGGTTTTCTCTTTTTTTTGGGTTAATTTATGGCCAAGAGATAGGGTTCTGGTATCTGGCAGGCTGCCAGAGAAATCCTGACCCAGAGTTAACTGTGGAATTCAGTGGTATTGAATCTCAACCTTTCACTCTTATTTTTCTATTTGTGATAGATAACAAGCATATGGTATAGACGAGTATCAAGGTTCAATGTTCCTACAATTATTTTTCTTCTTCTCTTCTGGGGATGTTTAGCCTTCACGGATGCTACTTTCCATTATCTTTTTAGTTGCTTTCTTAAGGAACAGCCTTATGTGAGCCTGTCGTACAATTATCTGCCTGTCTGCTTCCCTGGAATTAACTCCTGAACTCCTGAGACGCCCACACCATGAAGATGATGACATTCCTAAAATTTTTTGCAAAAATCAGCATCTGGCCAGACAGATGCTAGAGAGTCTCTCCACGGCAGGGACAGGCTGACAGCGTTCAGCTGCTGTACACTGCATTTGGCAGCAGGCAGGAGGCTGTTGACAAGCACACACTTGAGAGCAGGCACATCGGTGCTTCTTGCCCACTCAAAGGTGCCCTAGGTGACCCTGCGGGGAGGAATTGAAATTGTTGTAGCAGGAGGAGTGCTAGGGACAAAGGGCACAGATCTGGAGGAGAGCAGAACTCCACCGACTAGCTCTGCGGTCTGCAGAACAACTTGCATCGCGGGCAGCTAATTCAGCAGCGCCGTGCAGATGCAGACAGACGTTCTGCAGACTCCGGTTCTGGGTAACAGCATACCACAGACGCAAATGTCATCCTGGTGAAGATCAGCAGGAGGGTAAATATAAAAAACCGTTGTCACGGTAGCACATCTCTATCCTGTTAGCCAAACGCATCTTCCTCTCTTCCTCCACTAGTGCTGATGAGCTTTTTCCCACCCGAAGAGGGTCAAGCATTGCAGCAGGTTGCCCAGAGAGGCTGGGCAGTGTCCGCCCTTGGCGGTTTTCAGGACCCAGCTGGCTAAAGCCCGGAGTTACCTGGTCTGGCCTCACCGCTGACCCTGCTGGGAACAGCAGGTTGGACCAGAAACCTCCCAGAGTCTCTTCCAACTCAAACTACACTATAATCCTACAAATTTTCATCTCTTCAGTATCTGTATGGGTCTGTAATCCAGAGCTGTGGGTACGTAAGAGATGACAGTGCAGCAGGACCCATGAGAGGAAGGGGTCTGTAATTTAACCGGGAGGACCAATAACTGCACAAGCTCATTTCTACCAATTCTCACAAGAGCTGCATTGCCAAGGTACCAATGGTACCTGAGCCTCAACCATTTCAGGTGGGTACGAGTACCTATCCAGTGCCTTGTCTACAGAGCAGATCCACTCCCAGTAAAGCGGGGGCTCTTTGATTCCATGCCACACAGGTACAAGAGGGATATGTCAGACAAGTAGAGTGCAAATTGCCAAAGGGAAACGTTCAAAATACTGAACAGAGAGACCAGGGGATGCATCCCCATGGAACTGCAGGAAGAAATGATTAAGATGAGAATAGCCACCAGAAGTACATGAGAAAATCCAATGGAGATGAATGGGAACACAGAAACTAAAAATAGATTAAAGCAAACAGTAAATCACAGCTAATCCTGACCACGAAAGAT